AGAAATTTGATAAAGCTTTTAGTTTCAAAGAAACTGAAGAAAATTAATGATTTGTTAATGTTTTAATCTTGTAAAATGTTCAGAACTCATAAAAATTGCATTTCTCCTAGGTAATAAACCTTAGTATTAAGCATTACAAAAAAAATTGACTTTAACATACAAACTGTTAATTTCGACTTTTATTGTTTTCGGCTATTATTTTATAATATACTCGTATGGTTTGCATATACGGTTTTGCCCTATGGAACAACGAACATGTTTGCTATTTTTCTGCATTTACGGTGTTTGATAAATCTTTGAGGTTTTGGAAAAATAAATTTTTGGGATTTTAAGGGCTTCTAACGTTTAAAGTAGTAAGGCGTTGTAGCCAAAAATTTGCTTCTGAAGAAATACCTTTTCCAACAGGCTTTTTTTGGTGATAAAATTTCGACTTTCGATTTTAAATCGAACCCTTGACTCTGTCAACCCTTGACAAACGAACAAATTATAAAACAAATAAGTAATTTTGCTGTAAATTTTAATAAAAAAAGAGATAAAACTTAAACTAATTATGTAATTAAAATAAATTGACCTTGAATCGTTAATTTAAATTTTTGGTCCTTTTTCAAAAATCATAAAATTAACGATTTAAAGCTCATATAACCTATTCTGGGGTTGATTTTGAAGATATTAAGTTACGATTATTAAAAATGTATTCAAATAATTCGCCTTACAACAATAATAATTATTATAATCTCATAATTTATATTATGAATATTTTATAATAATAATGACAAGAGTATAATAATAATAGAAACCGAATTCTTAAAAAAATATATTGTAGAAAATAATAAAATTAAAAACCATATTTTAACAATAAAAATATGCACGCATAAAATAATGAGTATACTCGTATATACATATATAAGTTTGTATAATATGAGGATATAAAAGAACCTATATATATATATATAGATCCTTATGGAATTTTCTTTTTTTTTTATCAAATGCAGTGAATTTTATTTGCCTATAAATTTTATTACCATAAAAATACCCTTCGGTGTTTTTAAAATTTTTATTACCTTTTGCGATATCAGGGAACAAAAAAAAAAGAAGGAAATTTTTGTTGTACAATTTGACATGAAAAAGAAATATTTTTATGTTATACGTACGACGTACACAATGTTTCCTAAGTTGTAATTGTAACCAACCACCTTATATGTTTGTATTAGTAAAGGATAATATCAGTTTCGTTTTTTTTTAATATTTTCTGTTCTTTTAGCGTTTTATGTTTCTAGATTATACCATTGTTAATATTGTATAGAATGGTAATTAATGTTATGAGGGTTTCCTTTATTTTTTTTTGTTTTTGAGTATTTTGCTATGCTACACGCTCTAATTACATATTTTATAGTCTTAAAGTTGAGCATCTTTATTCTTAATTTTTTTCTTCTTATTTCTTACACTTATAAATTCTACGTAATGATAGAATTTTATGATGTGTTTATTAATGATAAAGGTTTAAAAGTTGATGTATTTTATTTTAAATGTTTTAGATATTTTATATTTTGTATGTACATATATATATATATATATATGTATGTTAACCGTGTTAATTAATTGTTTTTGAAATAATCATTAAATAGTTGTATATTAGTTTTAATATTATTGAATTTCATAAAATAGAACCGTAAGGGTAGGAAATTTTTTAAGGAATACAAAATTAATAGTATACGATCAAATATACGATCAACGTTCTTTTTCATAAATAATAACGTAGAAGGCGAAAATGTGGGGCTTGTTGACTTATTCCGCATAACTTGTCAGAGGCGGAATGGAAAAAGGCTCAATTTTTTAATGGCTAAGACATAATTGACGGCATATATATAGAGTCTGTTAAATTAAAATCGAAAATTTCGAAAACTTTCCGATTTCTACACTTTTCAAACTTTTCTTCGTGAGCTAATTAATGAAAACCCTCTTTTGCATTAATGTTTTAACCGCATTTTATCCGTTTCCTGCCAGTGTAAAAAGGTTTAGAATTGTTTAGATTCTTCTAAATTTTTAAACAATATTTTTTAGTAAAAAATATTTTTTCAGGAAAGTTTGACTAGTTTTACGGTAAACATGGTTTTCATTTTGCAGTTAGCTTTTATGTAATATTTTAATTTTTAATGTATGTTAAGGCATATTCTGAGAAGCGTTAAATATTATTGTGTATATTATTATTGTTAACATAAATCAATTTCTATAAGTGGTGTGTGTCTCGGATAAAGTTTGAATATTTACGATATTACTGTGTATTATTTATAGACATTGTTATTTTTAGCATAAACAACTTTATATTTGTTGTAGAAATTTGAAAAACCAATGACGAGTTAGAAGAAGATGTTTAAGTAGGCTTAATTTATAACAGGAATGAAAAAACTTTACAATTGCATTAGTTTTGTAGAGTTTATATTTTCTGTTCAAAGACAGGTCATCACTTCGTCTTAATAAATTTTTCATATTATTTCTTATAGGATTCTAAAATTAGTTGTAATTTCGCGTTTCCTTCTTGACTTATTCATTTATTCTTATTTGTTTCCGCGCCATACTCTTTATGAATAAAATAAAATCACACACGCGAGAAAATTCGCTTAACCATGCGATTATTCAAAAACATTCTGTATTTCTGATCATGTGCGTAAAATCATCTAATAATCGTTAATTTTTACAGTGCCTATGTCCTAAAATGTACTTAAATTTAAATTTTACAATTATTTTATATATATTATAATAAAATAAAAAAATATATGATCTGAAAATTAGTAAATAATTACTACAGTGTTTATAGATTAAATATACTTAAAGTGAGATAACGTTATTCTAGAAAAAAAAATTGTATGCTCTTTGATAACAAATTTGATACCATCTTGCTTACTGAATCTGTTTTTTTTTTTTCTAAAAGGAAAATGAATTTATTTATTTAACAAGATTTTTATATCTGATTAAATATTTTAAATTTGAAGTTCTTCGCAGCTGTGATAAGCATCAAAATGTAAAAGATGACTAAATTCTTTATTTTTAAATTCTTTGTTTTTCTGTATATTTCGTCTGAGATGGCGACTGATTAATAATAAAGATTATGTGCTTTTCATCACATATGCTTTCTAGGAAGTAAAAAAATACCAAAGACAAGAACTGTTAAAAACAAATATTACTTGAATTTGATGGGACTTCAAAACACGAAAAATGCATCAGAAAATTGGTTCTGATCACTTAAATATTTAAAATGATTATAATAATTGAACCCACACATGTATTTTTAATTATTAATTTAGTGACTAATATAATAAGTGTCAGTGATTTTTACGTCAGTGTCAGTGTCAATGACCTTACAAAATATATAAAGCTTCACTCAATTTAAATTTGTATAGTTTTATATCTTAACCCCTAAATTTATGCAAAACTATACGATAATTGGGGACTTAAAATTAACCATGCATTATTGTACAATTGTCGTTTTAATGGGTCGTTTTCATTATTTAAAATCTAGAGCAATGTAAAAACGAATTTTTCAGTTAAATTGTTAAAGGAAAAAGAGATATTGTACAAGCTTCTCTATTATTATGATTTGTGATCGTATATTTATCATAAATCATGTTGTAATTTTTAAAAATTAACTCTTATATAATCTCAAAATAGATTTTCATCTCATCATCATACAATATATTTTTGTATCTATACCATTTACTACATGATATATTTATCGTATTACACAGAATTAATTATAGTAGGTCTATATATTATACTATACCTATTATAATAGATCTATAGATTATGAAAAAAATTGTATAATCATATTTATCGTATAATCGGTAAAGTTTTCATAAACTTTGGTGTGATAATATTTTGTTATTTAACTTTAATGATTATATTCAAAATATTATAATCAAAAAATTATTCAAGTGTGCAGAAAAATTCAGATTGATTGGGTCAATTAAGTGTTATAGAAAATTTTTATTGAGTCAATAGGGAAAATCAAAAAATAAAGATGACATGAAAAGTTTTATATAAGCAGTTTTCCAATTGAATGAATTTAATAATAAATGCTTTTATATACATAATATACAAAAAGTATATATATAAATATAAGTATATGCATAAGTGGATTGAAATTCTTTGAATAATCAAAAGAGTTAAGAATAAAATATGATGATCAAAGATTTTTTCCAACATGATTTCATTTAATTAATTAAAATATTAATTATTTTTTTTTTCGAAATTGGTTAAAGAAATTGTGTTTGTTAATCTTAAGAACATACAAGATTAACAAACAGGCCTTGAAATGAAAATAGAATAAGTTTCGAGAATTATAAATGCTTATTGCATACTTATAGGCGTATTTGTTTAAAAGTAAGCGCTCTGGTATTATTAATTGCCGTATATTAAGTTGAAATGGCTAAAATAATTTTTCTTTGGAAAATATTCGCTCAATATAAGAATTAGTATTATATCGATTTCCTCGTCGTATAGGTCCTCGTGTTAGGATTTCAAATTTTGAAACCGTATGTAGTAAGTAGGCTTTACTAAAATAAAAATTCGAAAATTAAAAATCAAATTTCTCAGAATTCTGACACCACTTTTATTTTTGAATTTCAAATATTAATAATGGATTCGAAAATTTTAAGAAGAGAAATGAAAACCAAAATTTCTTGCACAATAGAAATCTGTTCACGTAACGTATTTCTTATGAGATCAGCAGATCTGTGTAGTAATCTGTGTTCTGTGTAAAATGGGTATGAAAATACTGAAAATTGTAAAAATTAGGCATGAAAACTTCATTTGAACTTTATTAGAATTGCAACTCTTTAGTAAGATTTAATCAAATTTCTTAGGTTTATTGCGTAAGAACTTTAATAAATTCTGAATTATTTAATTAATATTTAAATAATTTTGTAATTAAGCGTTTTGTAAGGCTTACGTCAATTTACATTAATACTAATTTTTGTTATTTTTGTTTGTTTTGAAATTTTCAGTGAATTTAAGAATAATTATGGTACAACAAATTCTGTAGTTCCAACAACATCAAATTCACCATCTGCAAGTCATCCATCAACGATTTACTGTTTACATGGTCATCGACATGTTGAACGTAAGTTATCATTATTTCAATTTATTTTCATTTATTACAATATTCGATTAGAATTCAGTTTCAATTCCCAATTATAAACGTAATTTGATTTTATATATTTTGATTATATTTTTAATTTGTAATATAAGAATGGTTTATCATTTTTATATCAATTACGATAACTAAATCAACTACATTCTCCTCCATATTGTTTTTTTTTTTTATAAAATGATTTTATAATTATTAATAATACATAGGGTTTTCAAATTTGAATTAACTTATTAAAATAGATTGAATATTAAAGAAGATATGGCAGTTAATAATGAAAAAAATGTCAGGCAAATAAGCACTTGTACCAGTTTTCCAAAGCATTTAATATTTCAGAAAATTTGTTGAGATTTTGATGGCTTTCAATATTGTATTTCCTCTGTAAATTGTAACTGATTAAGATGAGAACTTCACTGAGATGAGATCAATGAGACAATTTAATATACGCATGGTATATTAAATCGTCTCATTGGTTAATATACTGTTTCCGTTCGTGAAAATATTACTGAATACATAAATTTCCGGTTTTGTGTACTTATGACATATTTCACCGGCGTCTTGAACAATAAATCAAATTAATTGTTATCAACATTTTCAATAGTTGTAAGGTAGCGGAATCTATGGTAACCATTTAACATTTAAATACTAAAATAAAATAGAATTCAACACTCTTACTGATATTATATACTGAAGCAATATCATTATATGGGAGTATCCACATATTTATTTATTTTCACTTGGATATTCTATCCAAGTCTTATTTATAATTTCATATCACATATGAAATTACCTACCTATCACACATTGCGGCATCTTCTCGGGACACTTAGGTTGAGGCCTTAGCTCCTTCAGTTTAAGAAATTAGGATAGTGTTACTTTTTGTGGATATAGTTTTTTTTCTAGAGTTACTAGTTTTTCTAGAGTTACACTAATTCAAATTGCAACACCCTATAAAATAATAAAAAAAACTTTCATAAACTTATGCACTTTTATTACAATTTCATTTTATTTGAATTTCTAAGAAAAAATTTTTGTAATTATTTAAAAAATATTTACATATTCTTTTTTTTTTAAACTTGCATAAATATTTTTATACACCTAATATTTTTATTACATATTTATGATAAATAAAATATTCAGATTTTTTTTTTTATTTTTTTGAATTTTTTATATGAAAAATAAATGTTATTTTTCCTTTGGTATTTTTATTTAATTTCTATTTTCTATTCAAATTGAAGTTTTGTAAAATATTTTTAGTTTTCAAAAAAATATAATAGGTACTGTAAAGATTTTTTAATTAAATTACATGAAACTATGTATATGTATGCATTTCTATATATGTATGTATTTAGTTACAATTTTTTTCCTTCTAATTGAAATTTAAAATTAAATGTAAAATGTTATTCTTTATATTTAATATGAGAAATAAAAACTAAGTAAATTGGATTTAGTTATAAAAGTATATAAATTTTTTTTTATAAAATTTATACTCATAGTGTTTTGTAAAGTATAAACAGTAAAGTCGCAATATCTTGAACAATTTGAAAACAACATAGTTTGGCTCCTCATCTTTCTCAATTTAAGTTTAGTATTGTGTTCAAAACGATACGAAACCAAGTATTGAATCCCTAATAAAATTTATTTTTTGCTAATTTCGCTTTTTGGTACGAATTTTTTTCTTTTCAGTGTAGAACAATTCGTACAATTGTATGCACCCATTCGTATAATCGTATATAACAATTCTGTTAATCGCATCACTTGATGTAACATTAGGGTTATTATTCAAAAATTTTTATAATTTTTCGAATAAAATTAATTCCGCAACTTGAAATTCTATAAAGCAAACCAAAATATTTTTTAATAATATTTTAACAATAACGAGTTTTCTTAATAACTGTTATATCGTTCTGTTCTTTTTTACAGCTGAGCAGGCTTTAAAGTTTCGATTGAGTACACATTGAAATTAATCTTATTTAACTGGTTTGCCGAAAAAACAAACGTACATATTATAAATATATCATAAATATTGAATATAACTGATATAATAACTGATTATTTAAAATAATTAGCGGGGTTTAAAATATAATATCCTTGCAATGGCTGGGATGACGTAAAAGAGTGTTAATTACATGCAGTAGTATTGTTTTAAGTACGCAGTAGTACAATTTTATATCAGTAATTTTTTCTATACATATGCATACTTGCATGAAAGTAGTACACCCCTTATGTTAGTATTGTGAAAACTGACATTTACTTTGAATGAATTGATTTTTGTACGTTTGTATGAAGGAAATGTATAGCGAAAATGGTAAATTTAATTTTTTGGGAAATTTTAAATTTTAGCAATTCTGTATTTGCACATTATCGTCAGTTAAATGTCAGTTTAGGTTCATTATACTGTTTGCCACTATTCATGAGATAATATAGAGTTGGCGTCACTATATATGTAGTATATGAGAATTGGTTTCACTGTATGCATATACTAACACTATTGCACTATTGTACTATTTACTAACACTATTGATAAATTTTTCCATTATAACTTTTTTATATAACATTAATTAACTTATTTAGAGAAACTCTTATTCATTATGTTGCTTAACCTTACAGCTTTTTTCAATTAAAAAATCTTTTATGCAGCTATCTATATATAGAATAGTCAAAAAACAATGTTTAGAAATATTTCTATAAGTACAAGTTGTGTAATTAAAGACTTTATTAAAAATTATTTAAAATTTATTTGTCCAAAAATTTTTTTTTTTTTATAATTTGAAATGAAAATTTTGTAAATCTACCAATTAAAATTTATTTAATTAAAATAATTTTAAAATAATTATTATTACATGACGTTGCCATATAGATTTTTACCCTTATTATTTTCAGAGAAAAAAAAAACGATATCAGAAATTTTATTAAAAAATTTAAATATTTTTCATGGCAACCAAAAATGTTCTTGTGTTCTTTATAAAGCTCTGTATTCTGTTATAGAAAAATTTTTTTAATTTTTCAGTTCAATTATCGCATATAATTTTTACACACATTAAAAATATTGTTATGCCCTCATGATTTGAAAATCATACAGTTAATTTCCAATCTTCGTCAATTTTTATTTTTGGTTTTTTTTTGATTTTGTACAAATTGGAATTTTAACAAAATTATATTTTTCGATTCTTGTAAATTTAGAAAACAAGAGTTAATTTTTGTTTTGACACCAAATTGAAACCATTGCATATACTTAGAAAATTGCATAGAATTATCTGTATATTACAAAATTTGAGAATTTAATTGATTCGAGCCGATATTATATGCTTTTCATAATAAAAGAAAGTGAACGATCAAATCCATGTTTTATAAAATAGCACATTTTCGTTTAACAACCTTAATTAAAAGTTTGTATTTCAAGCTTTCGTTCTTAGTAGTGAGGTAGTGCCATTAGAATAAATAGTTCTTTTATTACCAGTTTAACATAAGTTGATTAAATCCTATATAGGGTAATTATTTTTCAAAAATAAATGCTAACTAATTTGGTTAGGAATACTTTCATTAATAAACAGAAATATTTTCGATTGAAAGTACAATATTATTCTTTCACAGTCATTTTTATATATTATCTGAGTCGTATGAACCTAGGGTTTAGCATTGGGGAATAGGGCAAACTTTTCGGATAAAAACTCGGAATCGGCCACAAAAATCTAGTTAAATGAAAAATTTTTAATTTAGTAAAATGAAAAATTTTTCAAAATTTTAACTTTACTGGTCTAATTTAGTCAAAACGAAATTGAAATAATGGTAAATCCGATGACACAATTTAATATGATACAATTCTAACTTGTATTTTCACGACTTAGCAAGGTTATAACTTGGAAGCAAGACAGATACGTAAGAGCCTTCGCGTTCTATGTTTAGAAAAATAATTTTTCTACTAAGATCTATATATATATTGTATACAAAATTTTATTATCCTATTTTATGTAAATTATGTGAACGATTTATCAACAGTCGAATCGACAAACCCATGGCCCATTTAATAAGCACTTTTTTTAGAAAATGTGAAAAATAGAAATCATATTTTATTCTTGTTCTTTTATAATCCATTGAAATTTTGAATAGGTATACATTTTTTGAGCTCGTTATAGTTTTTATATTTAGATTATCTGACTATTGTGATTGATTTGTAATTGGTAAATGGCTAAGAATAATTGATTATCATTTTTTTTTTTAATATACCTTTTACCTATATGGTGACTATAAATTAGTCGATATTTACACATTATTATTTAGACATCATTTAAAAAGGATAATTTTGATTGGTTTTTTTATAGTTTTACCGGTATATAGAAAAACACTTAATTTTTCATGTTAATAAATCTGGTTTTTTGCTTTTTCTAAATAGAAAATATAGATTGATGGATTGGAATACTTTATATGTCACAGGTTAATTATATTTTTCATATACATATACCATATAAAATGATTGTTCATTTACTTGAAAGGTGAAAAATTGAATTTCAAAAAAAAAAAAAAGAGAGAAAAAAAAAGATGAAAATATCTTATAGTTTCATAGAAATTTTCTCATGTTAAGTAAATTATATGTTAATGTAGAATCAATCAAATATCAAATATGAATGGTTTTTTGATTATGTTCAATGATTATAGAAGAATTGATTGAATATTGAATGTCATTTATAGGTGATTTAATAGATTTGAAATTGATAACTTATAGCCAATGTTAATTATTAAAAATTGTGATATTACAAGAAATTGTTATTGAAAATTTTTAGATGGAAAATAATTTGAAAAATTACAAAGGAGAAAGAAAATATTCAATATGGTTTTAATACAGATGAATTTTTAGATCCGTCACAAAATAAATTGACATAAATTTGATGTACATTTAATAGAAACTATGAACAAATCGCACTGGGTTAAGATTATCCTATTTAGAAATTCATAATTTTGAGTGGAATGTTATA